AAATATATTGGAAAGTGTTGATAGCGGGTATTGGATAGGGGAGTGGGGGGGGGGTTAGGGGCTGCGACAGTACCCGCCGTAAGCTCAAACCATTCTGAAACGTTGTGGTAAAACATTCGGAACGTTGTGGTAAAACGTTCGGAACGTTGTGGTAAAACATTCGGAACGTTATGGTAAAACGTTCGGAACGTTGTGGTAAAACATTCGGAACGTTGTGGTAAAACGTTCGGAACGTTGTGGTAAAACATTCGGAACGTTGTGGTAAAACGTTCGGAACGTTGTGGTAAAACATTCGGAACGTTGTGGTAAAACGTTCGGAACGTTGTGGTAAAACGTTCGGAACGTTGTGGTAAAACTTCCGGAACATTGTGGTAAAACGTTCGGAACGTTGTGGTAAAACTTCCGGAACATTGTGGTAAAACTTTCGGAATGTTGCGGTAAAACTTCCGGAACGTTGTGGTAAAACTTTCGAAGCGTTTGTAAAGGTCTCAAAGGAGTTTTGATAAGACGTTTCTGGTGCGTTGGGAATGATTACGTTTCAGTATTCGTCTAGCAGGGGGGAGGGGTGTTTCAGGAGATTTGTTTGAACTGTAGCGAGACGTTTTATTGAAACGTTACAAAAAGAACTAGAACTTTCTTCTGAAACGTTATAAAAAGGACTTTGAAACTGCTTTGGAACTAGGAGGCCTGACAGCTGAGTGGACAGCGCTTGGGATTCGTAGTCCTAATGTTCTGGGTTCGATCCCCGGTGGAGGCAGAAACAAATGGGAAGAGTTTCTTTCACCCTGATGAACCTGTTCACCTAGCAGTAAATAGGTACCTGGGAGTTAGACAGCTGCTACGGGCTGCTGCTTCCTGGGGATGTGTAACAAAAATGAGGCCTGGTCAAGGACTGGGCCGCGGGGACGCTAAGCCCCGAAATCACCTCAAGATAACCCTCTGAACGCTTAAATAAAACGCGATACGAAAAACTCAGCTCTACACGTTTGTAATGCCAAGCATAGTTGGTGCCTTAACCGGATTCCAGAGTGGTTTCTGACAGTTTTTGCCGGAGTCTTGAAAAGAGCGCTGTTGCCTGAATGATGCCTGAATGGTGCCTGAATATTGTTTGAATGGTGCCTGAATGTTGTCTGAATGGTGCCTAAATGTTGTCTGAATGTTGTCTGAACGGTGCCTAATGGTTGTCTGAATGGTGCCTGAATGTTGTCTGAATGGTGCCTGAATGTTGTCTGAACGGTGCCTAATGGTTGTCTGAATGGTGCCTGAATGTTGTCTGAATGGTGCCTGAATGGTGCCTGATGGTTGTCTGAATGGTGCCTGAATGTTGTCTGAATGGTGCCTGATGGTTGTCTGAATGGTGCCTGAATGTTGTCTGAATGGTGCCTGAATGGTGCCTGAATGTTGCTAAACTCACTGGGAAGGGGGAAACTTCACAATCTCTTCCTGTCGATGTTGAAAATAGACCTGAAAGTTTTTCTTTATTACGGAAGAAGAGTTTTGAGTATGCTTGTAGCAGTTTCCGAAAGTCTTCTTTAAACGTCTCTTGTATTGAAGAAAAACTTGGAAATTCCGTATTTGAAGGAATTAAAAATAACGGAAAGAGTTTTACAAATATTTGTAAACTTTTTCCTCTTGAAATAGTTTTTCTCTCTTAGAAACTATTATTGAGTGACTCTTACAAGTATATCTTATTATATAGATCGCTTCTTATTTTGGAGGAAACTTAGTTTAAAGTTGAGCTTGAGGTCTGTCAACGTCTGGAGGGCTGTTAAGACCACCACAATAACTTACAGATTCCTACAGGAAGTGCCGGACCGACCAGGTTGTTGTGGACCGCTTCAAGCAACATTGATGAAGCGCTCACATAAGTATGGCCCGCAGGCTGGACTTGGGGAGTAGAAGAACTCTCAGAACCTGGATTGTAAGGGGTACAATCCAGGTAGATATAAAGTCAACTCTCAGTGTGGATATACACACGAGAATATGTGAATAGAATATGATATATATATATATATATATATATATATATATATATATATATATATATATATATATATATATATATATATATATATATATATATATAATATTAGTGTTCAGTGAGAAACCACAAGGTCTCCTCTGAATACTTTTTATTTTCTTCTCCGAGGCTATGGGTCCCCACATTGGCACCAGAGGTGGTACCCTCACAAACTTATATATATATATATATATATATATATATATATATATATATATATATATATATATATATATATATATATATATATATATATAAGAACTTGGATTCTAGCTCCGTGACCCCAAGAAAATTTGTGTATGTAGTCTGCATCCTCCATATTGACCTTTTACAGTATTTGTCATTAGTAGGTAGGAGTTGGAACCCAGCTTATTGGCGTTTACCTTTCCATTGAACAATTTCAGCAACGAGGAGATGGGGTGGGGGGAGACCTGCTGCATGGGTAACAGCTTCTCCTCCGTATTGACCTACCCTGGCTTTGCGCCCTGGAGAGGCCACTCCAGAATGACAACCAGAGCTCAACTCCATAGTCTCCTGAGACTGATGGATGCCTATTACTGACCTAGAGAGCATGCAAAGATCCTCTACCGCTAGAATCCACTCTATAAGATATTTTAATTATTGGGACCGTTTCAATGGTTCAATTCTGTATTCTCTTGAACGCAGGTGGAAGAGATACATAATAATTTACACGTGGAAAATAGTAGAGGTGCTGGTCCCAAACCTGCACACACAAATAACTCCACATGAGACCAGGAGGCATGGCAGGATGTGCAGAATACCCCCGTTGAAGAGCAGAGGTGCAACAGGTACTCTGAGAGAGAACTATCAACATCAGAGGCCCGAGAGTGTTCAACACGCTTCCACTACACATAAGGGACATAACTGGCCGACCCCTCACAGCGTTCAAGACAGAACTATCAACATCAGAGGCCCGAGACTGTTCAACACGCTTCCACTACACATAAGGGGCATAACTGGCCGACCCCTCACAGTGTTCAAGAGAGAACTATCAACATCAGAGGCCCGAGACTGTTCAACACGCTTCCACTACACATAAGGGGCATAACTGGCCGACCCCTCACAGTGTTCAAGAGAGAACTATCAACATCAGAGGCCCGAGACTGTTCAACACGCTTCCACTACACATAAGGGACATAACTGGCCGACCCCTCACAGTGTTCAAGAGAGAACTATCAACATCAGAGGCCCGAGACTGTTCAACACGCTTCCACTACACATAAGGGACATAACTGGCCGACCCCTCACAGTGTTCAAGAGAGAACTATCAACATCAGAGGCCCGAGACTGTTCAACACGCTTCCACTACACATAGGGGCCATAACTGGCCGACCCCTCACAGTGTTCAAGAGAGAACTATCAACATCAGAGGCCCGAGACTGTTCAACACGCTTCCACTACACATAAGGGACATAACTGGCCGACCCCTCAAAGTGTTCAAGAGAGAGCTATCAACATCAGAGGCCCGAGACTGTTCAACACGCTTCCACTACACATAAGGGGCATAACTGGCCGACCCCTCACAGTGTTCAAGAGAGAACTATCAACATCAGAGGCCCGAGACTGTTCAACACGCTTCCACTACACATAAGGGACATAACTGGCCGACCCCTCACAGTGTTCAAGAGAGAACTATCAACATCAGTGGCCCGAGACTGTTCAACACGCTTCCACTACACATAAGGGACATAACTGGCCGACCCCTCACAGTGTTCAAGAGAGAACTCGATAAACACCTCCAAAGGATACTTCATCAACCAGACTGTCACTCATGCGTCAGGCTGCGAGCAGCCGCACCCAACAGCCTGGTTGATCATCCAACAGCCGCGGGATGATCCCTAAAATCGTCGCAACAGGTAGTTAATAGCTATTAGACAATTGTTTAAAGGCAGGTGTTAAATCATGGCAGCTAATTGGCGATACGCTAAAGCTAACAGAACGAAGAGAGTTGGGAAGCTAAATCCGGATTAGCTCTCCTCCGCTGAGGCGTATTATGTGAAGGACGGGGAAGAGGGGGGGGGGGGGAATAGGGGGGATGGGGGGGGGGGGGTATAGGAGGGGATGGGAGTCGGTTGGAGCGGATCCAGTCCTGCTTTCATGGTATCGTGGGTGAAGGGACACGATCTTAGCATCCCAGATGAAAGAGTTCCGGCCCTCTCCCTGAGAGGTTAAGAGGGATTCAGACTCTATTTTGAGTGGAGGGGGAGGGGGGGGGGGAGGAATGGTATGGAGGGGGAGGGGGGTTGTGGAGGTGGGCTAGGAGCAGATGAGGGGCTGTGGAGGTGGGCTAGGAGTAGATGAGAGGCTGTGGTGGTGGGCTAGGACCAGATGAGAGGCTGTGGAGGTAGCTAGGACCAGATGAGGGCTGTGGAGGTAGCTAGGCAGCAGATGAAGGCTGTGGAGGTAGCTAGGCAGCAGATGAGGGCTGTGGAGGTAGCTAGGCAGCAAATGAGGGCTGTGGTGGTAGCTAGGCAGCAGATGAGGGCTGTGGTGGTAGCTAGGCAGCAGATGAGGGCTGTGGAGGTAGCTAGGCAGCAGATGAGGGCTGTGGAGGATAGCTAGGCAGCAGATGAGGGCTGTGGAGGTAGCTAGGCAGCAGATGAGGGCTGTGGAGGATAGCTAGGCAGCAGATGAGGGCTGTGGAGGTAGCTAGGCAGCAGATGAGGGCTGTGGAGGAAGCTAGGAGCAGATGAGGGCTGTGGAGGTAGCTAGGAGCAGATGAAGGCTGTGGAGGTAGCTAGGCAGCAGATGAGGGCTGTGGAGGTAGCTAGGCAGCAGATGAGGGCTGTGGAGGTAGCTAGGCAGTAGATGAGGGCTGTGATGGTGCTAGGCAGCAGATGAGGGCTGTGGAGGTAGCTAGGCAGCAGATGAGGGCTGTGGAGGATAGCTAGGCAGCAGGTGAGGGCTGTGGAGGATAGCTAGGCAGCAGGTGAGGGCTGTGGAGGTAGCTAGGCAGCAGATGAGGGCTGTGGAGGTAGCTAGGCAGCAGATGAGGGCTGTGGAGGTAGCTAGGCAGCAGATGAGGGCTGTGGAGGTAGCTAGGCAGCAGATGAGGGCTGTGGAGGTAGCTAGGCAGCAGATGAGGGCTGTGGAGGTAGCTAGGCAGCAGATGAGGGCTGTGGAGGTAGCTAGGCAGCAGATGAGGGCTGTGGAGGTAGCTTGGCAGCAGATGAGGGCTGTGGAGGTAGCTAGGCAGCAGATGAGGGCTGTGGAGGTAGCTAGGCAGTAGATGAGGGCTGTGGAGGTAGCTAGGCAGTAGATGAGGGCTGTGGTGGTGCTAGGCAGCAGATGAGGGCTGTGGTGGTGCTAGGCAGCAGATGAGGGCTGTGGTGGTGCTAGGCAGCAGCTGCTAGGAACCGCTGAGAAAAAGGGGCCGAAGAGGCCTAAGGAAAGAATCAAGGAGCCCAGAGAGGAAAACAAAAGCATGAATTAAAGCAACTTTTTTAACACATGAACAAGTAAAAGTTGTTGCAGACTGAGAGACGTGCCCGTGGCAGACTTTGCAACAACAAAAAAAAGGAACAAAAATACTGCCTCTTTTTTTTTAAACGTGATGAATGAACACGAAGTGCTTTTGCTGTGCAACAAACACGCAAGCGCACGCACGCACGCACGCACACATCTATCCACACCCACACAACTAAGTGAGTACATGCACACATCCACCCATACACATACACACCCACATACACACATACACACACATACAAGCAGCCGATGTGTAGTAAATTTATACCAAGTTAGGGAAGGGGGTTAATTTGTTTGCCACATATACATATACATATCCTTGTGTATATATGTATATTATATGTGACTTTCTGCAGTATTTGGTTGCACCACCGTTTGTGTGTGGGGGGGGGGTGGAAGCCAGTGAGGAAAGGCTTAGTTGAAATAGAATTCCACTAATCAATCCCACCGTTTGACAGGTTGAGATTGAGAATCGGTCGTGTAGAAGTTGATGGTGAGACCCCCATCTTTCGGGGAGGGGGGGGGGACATCTGATCCATCCAACTGTTTCGTCTCGCTCACGGCTGGCCTGTTCCAGGTCGCTGTGAAGGCTTCCCTCATTGCTTATTCTTCCCCCTAACTTATTAAAACTTTTACCCTGGTCCATAACCGTCTTTGAAGATTTTTCAGGAAAATAGTATTTCAACAATGACAGGGGCGAGGGAGGGGGTGAGGGTGGGGGTTAAGGGGTTTTTTAAGGGGGGGGGGAAAGGGGGAAGGTTTGAGAGGGGGGAGGGGGGGGACGATGGTTGTTTTAGCTATGTAACATAGACGGGATTTAAACCTCCTGTCTGTTCCACTGTCTGTTATAGCCATCTGCATTATTCTTTAAAAGCAAATATGATTGAAAATATTAATAATATGGTCAATAAATGATTACAATATACTTATAATATTGTAAGTCGTGTTGATAATTGTAATGATAAATTATAGTATATTAATCATATATATATGTGCTGGAGACAGCTTCTGGGAAGGACAGAGCGCGTCTCCTAGCTGTGCAAGCTCCCCATGCCGGGGATTTCCTGTTGGCAGTCCCTAATTCCGCCTTGGGCACCCGCCTGGACCATCGGACCCTAAGTATTGGTGTTGCTCTGCGCCTTGCCGCCCCTATCTCCACCGAGCACCGGTGTATTTGCGGCCATGCACGGGCAGACCAATACGGCAGCCTCGGTCTCATCTGTCGTAAGACACAGGGAAAGATTGCCAGACATGAAGCAGTCAATGACATCATCAAGAGAAGTTTGGCTTCAGCTGGGTGCCCAGCACAAAGGGAACCTCAGTTGTGCAGACCTGACAACAGCCAAAAACGCCCAGATGAAGTCACCCTGCAGCCGTGGAGGGAAGGTAAACAGGTCGTGTGGAACTACACGTGTGCATCCACATTGGCTGATACCTATCTACCTTACAGCACAGCTGAGGGAGGCGGGGCGGCCACCTTCAGGGAGACCTAGAACACCAACAACTACAGGGACCTGGAACGTTGTTACAGGTTCGTGCCGATAGGCTCTGAGACTCTGGGCGCCTGGGGTAAATGTGCACTTTAGTTCCTAAAGGAGGTGGGTGAGGACCTCATTAGAATTAAAGACTCAAAAGCTGCCAGTTTCCTGTTCCAGCGCCTCAGTGTCGCGATCCAAAGAGGAAATGCTTGCTGTATCTTGGGCAAGATGAGATACTCATCCTGCGAAGAGCGGGATGAGGTCTTCGAAAAGTGATTGTTATATATGTGTGTTTTCTGTAAGCTGTAACACAATGTAATAAAATTAATAATAAAAGAAATATGGGTGGTAGGAGAAGAAAATATTAAAGTGTTCAGTGAGAATCCACAAGGTCTTTTCTGAATACTCTTTATTTTCTTCTTTAAGGCTGTGGGTCCCTTAGCCGTATGTGTGTTTATATATATATATATATATATATATATATATATATATATGACAGGGGCGAGGGAGATATATACAAGAGATATATACAAGAGTTGTTACATTCTTGTACAGCCACTAGTACGCGTAGCGTTTCGGGCAGGTCCCTGGAATACGATCCCCGCCGCGAAGAATCGTTTTTTCATCCAAGTACACATTTTACTGTTGCGTTAAACAGAGGCTACAGTTAAGGAATTGCACGATCTTAATGAATATTATTCATTAACATTAATGAATAATATTCATATAATATCATATATGAATATTGCATATATGATGTTTTCCATTCGCAAAATCATTATATTTTGTTCCTTGTCGGAGGTCGATATTCACTGTCGAATTTTATGGTTTTTGAATTCAATGTTAATTACGTGAATATTTGAAATTAGTTTTTGATTATTATATGATTTATGTGGAAGCTCAACCTTTTTTTTCTTGCTTCCTGTCATCCCTTTCCTCCCCTCCCATCATCCCTTCCATCGCCACATTCTTGTTCCATATTCTCCTTGTGACACCCAGGAACTAATTTAACCTTCCGTTTCACAGGTGAGTGTTGATGCCAGACGCCGCCACAAGGTGCAATTTGCATCTGAGGTAAGTATATCCCGCAGCGAATATTGCAAAGCTCATGTTGACATGTGCAACAAAAAGGTAAGTTAAGCTTGCCCCGAGGATCGCGTGGATATTCAGCTTAGTGGAGGGAGAAAACTTGGTGGCAGAATTTTTATATTAGGTTATCGTGCTTCAGGCATCGCTGTCTTAGTGACGTCAGGGGAGGGGGAAAAATTATCGTACGTGTTGATATAATATATTTTGATTAGGAAGATATTGAAATATACTCTTCACTAATTTGACATTGGGGTATAACTTCAACAATTATATATTGAAATATACTCTCCAGGTAGCAATACAGTCTATGAGAGTCTGAGATTTAAAGTTTATGAAATTAACCTGTTTTCAGGTTAATTTGATCTCATTTGAGGTTTAAATTAGGTTAAGGTTAGGTTAGGTTAGGTTAGGTTAGGTTAGGTTAAGGTTAGGTTAGGTTTTATTACGTCTTATTTTAATTCGAAAACTATTGGAGTGTCCGGCTAGAATTTCATTTACAGAAAACTAAATTCTTCAGACCGCAACAGAGAAAATTGAGTTAAGCATATTCGTCTTATATTTTTAAACCAACGATTTGTAATACAATAAAGTTATAACTTGGAAATATGCTCTGTTTAGGACAAAGTTTCACGTGTCAGTGTACAAGTAGACTATTATTTGAACCGTAATATGCTTTCAGACCATCACATATATCTAGTTATCTATCCAGGGTGGTGTGAGAGGGGGAGTTTAGTGTATATCTTGTGCTGTGTGGCAATCATTTTACCCTGAAGATGGGCTCGAAAATGTAGGATTTTTGCGTTTACGGAAAATTATAATTGTAAAAAAAATATTCTTAAAGTAAACTTATACAATGCGACCCACAATAAATAGGGTAATAACTCATCATTTTCTTAAATTCTTCCTATTTAAGGAGTGGCTAGAATTTAATTTACAGAAAAGAATGAAGAAGAAGAATTGTGAAGGAAGAATTGTGAGCATTCATGGCATTGTCTTTTTAGACCCGAGTTCGAATCTCCAATGATGCAGTGAATTAAATTAAAAAAAAAAATAAAATTATGTATAATTAGTAATGGTAATGTCTTAGCACAGACATAATAACATAGGATAAAATCCCACTCTTGTGTATTTGTTAAATTTATGTAGAGAATTTTCACTAAGTCTTTAGCTCTCTCTTGACTGCTTTGTCAAGGTCTGAGTGTGTGATTAAGACGAGACTAACATCTCAATGTCTAATGAGGCTGTTATTCTGTTGTTGTTTTAAGATCCAGCTACTCGGAACAACCAGTTCCAAGTAGCACGGGCTATGGTGAGCCCGTTAGTGGACTTATCTGGCACAGGAGCGGGACAAGTAGCACGGGCTATGGTGAACCCGTTAGTGGACTTATCTGGCACAGGAGCAGGACAAGTAGCACGGGCTATGGTGAACCCGTATTGGACTTACCTGGCACAGGAGCGGGGCAAGTAGCACGGGCTATGGTGAACCCGTAGTGGACTTACCTGGCACAGGAGCGGGGCAAGTAGTACGGGCTATGGTGAGCCCGTAGTGGACTTACCAGGCACAGGAGCAGGGCAAGTAGCACGGGCTATGGTGAGCCCGTAGTGGGCTTACCAGGCTAGCCGCGTTCCTTGGGGAGGGAGGTATGGAGGGGGTTACGATACATAACATCCATATGAACACCTCTTTGAACATCCATATGAACATATGGATGAACAACATCCATATGTTCTCCTCCCAGAATAACAGGAGAACAGGAAGAACACATGACATTAATTCCGTAGAAGCCATTAGGCTTTTATATGAAACCAAGCGTGGCTTTTTTATCGTATGTATCATGCTGAATCAAGTTTCACAAATAGCTTGTAAAAAAAAAACTTTGAAAGAAAGCAAGTTCTTAATATAAATTGAATTTATTGTTTAAAACAAATATTTAGCACATTTGCAGACCGCAACATATCTTACGTTAGGACATTGTTGCAAATTTTATAGTGTCCCACCGGTTCATGTGGACACGTTGCAACGATATAGTTTGTCATTGGTTCATAGACTGTTTATAAAATTTAGGACATTGTTTCATTCTTATTTTGGGAGGATATCATAGTAGCAGAACAATGTCACCTTGGGATATCGTTACCTTGGGATATCGTTACCTTGGGATATCGTTACCTTGGGATATCGTTACCTTGGGATATCGTTACCTTGGGATATCGTTACCTTAGGATATCGTTACCTTGGGATATCGTTACCTTGGGGTATCGTTACCTTGGGATATAGTTACCTTGGGATATAGTTACAATTTCACCTTGGGATATCGTTACCTTGGGATATCGTTACCTTGGGATATCGTTACCTTGGGATATCGTTACCTTGGGATATCGTTATCTTGGGATATCGTTACCTTGGGATATCGTTACCTTGGGATATCGTTACCTTGGGATATCGTTACCTTGGGATATCGTTACCTTGGGATATCGTTACCTTGGGATATCGTTACCTTGGGATATCGTTACCTTGGGATATCGTTACCTTGGGATATCGTTACCTTGGGATATCGTTACCTTGGGATATCGTTACCTTGGGGTATCGTTACCTTGGGATATCGTTACCTTGGGATATCGTTGCAGAGTCACTTTGTGGATATTGCAACACTGGCCCGCTGTTGCTCTGCTTGACTTTGACATGGAAACGTTGTTGTTGTGTTGGGAAATTGCACCTATACCCCTGGCAGTTGCACCAGTCAAGGTTTGCAACAATGTATTTGTGTGATGGGAAAATGTGCCATTTAAATAGACGGACCTATTGACTGACATACGACCATGCACACAGATAAATATACTGACAGACATATACATACTGACAGACATACAAACATACATGTATACAGACAGACGGATATACTGACAGACAAAAATATATAGAGACATGCTTACAGACAGACAGACAGACCTCTATTTTGTACTTTTATGCACGATTTCTTTAAATCTTGCAAATTAAGAGTCAATGAGCATTTCTTGAGTTGGTTGAGACGTATTGCAAGGAAATGATTATCATCACTTAATAATAATAATAATACCAATTAATAATTGTAATTGTGAAGTATTAAATAATAATTCGAATATTGCTTTAATTATTTCAATTGGCAATAAAAAAATCGAATAAATAAGGGGTGATAGTAATATTTAACTTTAGCCATTAGATAGAATATTAGTAACAATTGAAGACTAATTGCATTTGCAACAGGAATAATAATAGTAATGATGCTGCCACCATCTTGATTATTGTTGCAATCAATCTAAGGAAATCTTCATTGTAATCCAATCATATTTTAATGGGTTTATGTTCATATTTAATACCAACTCTACGGTCCGCAAAAACCACTATCACAGGCCTTTTACATTGTTTGGAGACAAAGTCTAGATACTGGCGTTATCCCTGACATACTAAAAACAGAGATAGCACCATTCCATAAAGGAGGAAATAATGCAGAGGCAAAAATATTATAGACCGATAGCACTAATATCACACATCATAAAAATCTTTGAGAGAGTGCTAATAAGTTAGATCACAAAATACATGGAATCACAGCATCTCCATAACCCCGGACAACATGGTTTCAGATCAGGGCGCTCTTGCCTGTCGCAGTTGATGGACCACTATGATATGGCATTAGATGCTATGGAAGACAAACAAAACGCTGATGCAATTTACACAGATTTCGCAAAAGCTTTTGACAAATGTGACCATGGTGTTATTGCACTCAAAATGCGTTCAAGAGGAATTATAGGAAAAATAGGCAAATGGATCTACAATTTCCTGACTAACAGAACCCATTGTGTAATAGTCAACAAAATCAAATCCGGACCATCGACCGTGAAGAGCTCAGTCCCCCAGGGTACTGTGCTTGCTCCAGTACTTTTTCTCATCCTCATATCGGACACAGACAAGGACACAACCTATAGCACTGTATCATCCTTTGCAGATGACACTAGGATCTTCATGAGAGTAGGCAACATAGAGGACACGACGAACCTCCAATCAGACGTAAATCAGGTCTTTCTATGGACTACAAAAAATAATATGGTGTTTAACGAAGATAAGTTCCAGCTCATGCGCTACGGAAAAAAAATTAAAATATAAAAACAGAAACCACGTACAAAACTCAGGCAAATCATAACATAGAACGAAAAGGCAATGTAAAGGTTCTGGGTGTACTCATGTCGGAAGACCTTACCTTTAAAGAACACAATAAAGTAGCCGTCACAACTGCAAATGGTCTGATAGGAGAGGAATCAGACCAAATGGAATGGTAGTACACAGGGATGGGGTGGGAGAGTCTGTGTGCTTGATGAAGGCAGTCCTGAAGGCAGTCCTGAAGGCAGTCCTGAAGGCAGGCCCTGAAGGCAAGCCCTGAAGGCAGCCCTGGAGGCTGACTTCACCCTCATTTTTCTACGTGTACCAGAGTGTTTGGAAATAAATTGGTTTTGTGATGAGTAATTTTGGCCTTTATATATATATATATATATATATATATATATATATATATATATATATATATATATATATATATATATATATATATATATATATATATATATATATATATATTTATATATATATATATATATATATATATATATATATATATATATATATATATATATATATATATATATATATATATATATATATATATATGGTTAGTAAAGTGGTTGGTGAACGATTGGTTGGACAGTTTTTTTTTGGGGGGGGGGGCGTGATTGTGGTCAGTTAATCGTGTATTAGGTTGGTGACTGGGGAACTGGTGATTTGAGCCGGTGATTAGAATATTGGGGGATTTTGGGTCACTGATTGGGGAGTATAAAGGTTTTAGGTCGATGATTGGAGTACAGGGAGTTTTAGGCAGGTGATTGAGGTCCATGATCAGATGTTATCGACTTGGGAATTAGAAAGGTATTTTCAGTCAGATATTTTTCAGTTATTTTGAGTTCAGTTTTTAAGAGAGAGAAAATCGCAGAAGAACACAAATTTCCTTTGACCAGGA